CCCCAGCTCTCCAATCTCCCACAAACAACCTCTACGGCCTCCTTTGCCTTCCCCCATCCTCTGGAACCTAAACAAAGTCACTCCCCCCATGCCCGCCAACTGCTCGACAAAACGCCACAACCATCATAACAATAAAACCAAATACATATCCCCAAATTCGCACAAATCAATCAAATTTCTCATCAAATTCAAAACAAAAAGTAAAAAACGTACCCTTTCTTCACCGGCGTCCTCCTCTTCAGAACCATTTCCCGATTCTTCTCTCTTTTCTTGTGTTGTCGTTGTCCCCTCTGCCTCTAAACCACCTTGACTTATCGGATGATCCACCGGAGCATCTTCTTCGACAACCTTTGAACTGTTGGCACCGTCGGAGTCTAAGATTCGGAGCAGGGTTAGGTTTTCCTCCTCTTTGTAAATGTCAACCATGGTTTTGCGTAAGGAAGCTTCATGATCAAATATTTGCCAAAATTAAAGCACTCTTATCATTGAAAATCGCAGAGAAACGAAATGTGTTCACTAATCGTTTTTTGAGTATATGGCTCGATTAAGCAATTTTGAAGGGTGAGGGCTCGTTTTCAAATTTCAAAATTTAAACAAACTTCCGTTAATTATGATTTTATCCACATATGTTTAAATCTTTTCAATTTAACCCATTTTACATGTTTAATGAATCCTAAGAGTGTCACATCAACATTTCTAAATTAAAAAAAAAAATCAAAAATATTTTCAAGATCATTTTTTTAAATGCAAACTTAAGAGGTCCGGAGAGTTAAATTTCCTCTCTGTAAGTGTAGTCTTGCCCTTTCTTATATTGGTTTTTGAAACAAAAGACCCCCGATAATACCTCAAATTGCGAATCAAACATCTCCTTTATTACAAAAAGTTTATTTTATTTTTTATTCCAATTATAAAAAAACATCTATTTTTAAAAATAGATAAACTGTCAAACATGCATCGTTTAGAATATAAAATATGAAAGAAATAAAAGAAGAGCATTTATGAATGGATTGGGCAGTGATTGTTTCTATGAGTGGGTGTGGGTGTGGGTGTGGGTGTGCTGATGCTAGTAAGGGCGTTGGAGATTGGTGAGGAGAAGCGTAGGTGATTTGGGGATTTGCAGTGCAGAGTCGAGAGCTGTAACAAGTAAATAATTGAGGCCTGCTATAGTAACGATCAGACATTGCCATGTTGGCTCCTGCCTCCTGGATCAGAAGATAAATTTTTTTTCTAAACCAGTGTCACTCTAACACTTTTTCTCACCCTAAATTTTAAAATTTACAAAAATCATCTACTAAAACAAAAATGAATGTACTTTTACTGCAAGTTGTACAAAGCAAAATGCATACCTTTCCCGAAATCTATGGCAGGCACCCACTTTTTCTTTCACAGAAAAACGTGGGATGGTAAATGACTACATGGAAATTCAAGTTTCCAGGTTGCAACAAAATGCCAGCAAAAAACAAAACTATGGACCTGAATTCATATCAACATGAAGATAAACACCGACGAGTAATGCAATGGAACTTCTTATAATCTGGCATCTCGGATGTTTCAAATTTCAATACTGGAGACATCTTCATACCAATGATTTGTACCTCTGGATTGAGTGACCTTCCAGAAACACATTTGTAATCTACAAGACAGCAAAACCGAAAAATTAGTCTCAAATGTCAAAGACATGGTTTCATTTCCATGGAAAGAAGGTTTTCTAGACATAGTTTCATTTCCAAGTGAAAGAAAGTTTTGTATTCAGTATCAGTCAAAGAACAATGTTGCAAAAGTTGATAAATCAAACTCACAACATATTATACCTGGGTGCATCAAAAATTTTAAGGATCTTCAGCGACAAACAGCTACAACAATCAGACCACAGCCTCATTTGTCAAATTACGGCAAAATGATATATCTAGACTCTAAGTTTCTCGACGCTTAGCAAGCGATACTGCAGTGTTGTGGGCAACCTATAAAAAGTCACAGTTCGCATACAAAATTAGAGAAAAATAATTTTACTCCAACCAATACACCCTTGGCCCACTAAAACCTTTAACTGACCAAAGATTAGCATCTTAAACAAATAACCAACATGCATCACACTCATTGCGTACCTTGCCAGAGCAGCCAATCTGAATTATTTCAAAGAAGTTCACTTAAAAAACATGCCAAGGAAGCCTTAATATTAATCAATCCAAAAATACACATTGAGCATCCAGAGAGGGAAAAAAATGCAATTTTAAGTAGAACCAATTTTAAACCAATCTAACTTTACGTTATGCACAGACCATTACTCAGAGAGGTTAATGTGGTACCTTGACCTGTTTAGAGAAAGTTCTTCATAGACTCCCCAGAGGTTTCCAAGAATGCAGCAATAGCCTCATCACTGTAACAACAGAATAACATGACAAAAAGTTTGCGGTTTACTATGTCAGGATTGCATGTGCTGTGAGCATTCAACATAAGTTGTATACATTGGAAAATGAGAATAAGAACACAGCAAATAGTATGTATTCAAAAAATAACCTTTCCTCTAGAGCTGCATTTTTTTCGAAGCAATAAAACAGATAGATTTAAAACCAAATCTAGTTACACATTTATGAAAGAGAAAAAACTCAATACTAAATTTGGTGAGATTGGCAAAGATAAATCTTTGAGAAATTCTGTTCAGCTCAGTAGAGTATATTTCACGATGTTTGCAACTATCAACTACTGCAAACAATAGTTTAAAAGAAGCCAGGATTGATAATCCATAAAATGCTATATTTCCAGTGTAATATGCCAATTCCTAATCCCCACATGCTCACATCAATGTAGCAAAAAGGACAAATGACATGGGGTCAAGAGTTCACCTGAGGAGGAAACACTCTAGCATATCATGGCTCTACAAAAAATTAGATTTAATTGTACTCCTTTAAGGGATTGCAAAAACCTGTAAATCCAGGTTTCCCAGCCCAAGCAAAGACTAATACATTGAATCAGGGGAAAAGAAACTTAACCCACTCAGTTTTGCATCAGGAAAGAAGTGTTAATGACTCTGGATTACAAATACATATCAAACCTGATACAGAATTATACAATGTTCAGCAAACCCCATCCCTCAATTGTCTCAGTATAGGGATTCAATTATGCCACTGCTACCACTATCATCATAGATTCATAAGTCCACCGAAAAAATATACAACCTTCCTATCCATTTAAAGAGACCATTATCATCCATCGGCTGTGTCTAATATTTCTTAGTGTCCACTCTTTTCTCCATCTTATTAATTCTTTATTCAGATCCAAATCCCAAAAGTGAATATCATAATCTTTGGTTATATTTCATTACTTCATTTCCCCCCTTCATCAAGTCCGAAAAGCAACTATTAAAGCATCAAATTTCAGCAAAATCACTGTTTAAATTGCATAAGTTTGAGGCACAAATGTTCAGAGGGGCCAGTCAACTCAATTAATTTAAAAAGTCCAAAACATAAGACAGCAGTCTAGGGAAATGCAGTTCCGCCCACAAGGATTAGGGGAATAAAGTTACCAACTTACCGTCATGAAAACTAGTCTATTAACTCATAAACAACATATTTTGATTAGGTAACCAATAAAAGAATCAACTATTAGAAGGAATTCCATATCTAAGTTCACACTCAAATATATGCATTGACACAGGGTAAAGCAGCCAAATCTGTAACAGAAGTTATAAATAAATACTGAACAGCTAATACCTCAAGATCTCAACGAGCACAAAAATAAAGTACTTGTGATGCAACAATAAAGTCTATTATGTAGTAAGGAAAACGTACGAAATCCAACATTAGAGTAAAAAACCTGAAAGCATTGTAGCCAACATTTAATTTTTGATTGCTGGACGGCCATTCGCAAGATAGCCAATAGAGAAATCCGTCAAGCGACGCAAGTTAAAATATCACAGTGCGACGTAGGCCAGTACAGGTTTCAGCAATGGCTTTCAAGGAAATATCAGTCAGTTTTCTGCATCCAAATAGGAAGCCAGCATGACTAAAGGAGGCCAAATTGCACAGAAGCCAAGTAATTTACAACAAAAGTTTCAGAAACAATTACACACATTCAGTCAAAACAAGCCCTTCCTATTATGACCATGATCACTAAGAAATTCTCTGATAAAATCATCACAAACAGTTTCAATGCGTGCTACCGATAAACTTCTAAATGTTTTAGCTTTTTCAGTGCCGGCAGAATAAGCTAGCATCAATGGGTTGGCAATCATTAATGTACAGATCCTGCATAACTGATCCCAGTGAATTTGCGAGGATGTTGATACTTTTGGGCGGTAACAAAGCAGCACTGGCTGAGATTTATACATCTTAGTGCTGAAGCAGAAGACACAATACCCTGAAGCCCAACATCTGATAGCCGGGATGCCCACAGAGGGAAAAAGTAGTTAGGGGGACAAGCTCTTTGATGACCTGACTAGGTAGAAAGTACAATGTGATCTGGCAGGCGTCCACAGTAGTCAAGTTGTAAAACCTAATTTCAAAAAGCAAAATGTTTCAGGTTCTCTGCAAGTTCTTCACATAGAAGATAATCTCCACAAATTCTTCTGAATAGAGACAAAAGACTAAAATTCCACACTCAAAATTAAGAGGACGATCCTTCACCGCTCCATAAACAAAAGCAAAAGAATTTCAAAAGATAATATCCCGTCTCGAAAAGAAAAACAGGTCACAAAACTATGTTCACTTGCAACTTGGAAATAGAAGCCACAAATAAGCTCATATCTAATTCATTTTTTTTTTTCACAATTACTAGCCCTAGTTTTGAACAAGAAATCCTTCGTGAAAACATACTACGAAACCATCTACATATCAAACATTAAAATAAAACATTTAACGTGGAACAAATACTCATAAATTAAAGGGAATCTCCCACACCCCGACTTATTGCAAATAGTCATCAGAAAGAAGCTGTGTACTAAATTCAAAGTGAAAGCAAGAACATGAAACATGAAATTAAAGCTACATTCACAAAAAAAAATATCATACCGTCAAGTTGCTGGTGTCACAATCCTGAAAAGATTCGGCGAACTGTTCCTCTGTTAGCCACGAACATTCACACAGAAGTATCTCTGTAGGGGATCCAGTGACAAGGAGGTCAAGAAAATGACTATTCATCCTCCGAGAATTGCAAAGCATCACAGTAAGCTTGTGCCTCAGTGCATCCGGGACATTTTCAAGTGAAGTCATTGCATCAGCATTCTGTACAAGAATTTTCAAACATAATTCTTTCAATGATGGAATCCTCAATTTTGAACGACCCTGACCAGTCTTGGGAATCCACGTTATTGCTGTAGGTTTTTTATTCTCTAAAGAGCTGGACCCATGTTTCCTTTTCAACTTATCATCTCGGTCCCTAATAATCTTCATAGCAGTAGAGAAGGGACCGGGCCAATCTTCAATCTCCCTTTCATTCTCAAGAGACACTTGATCCTGCTCCTGCTCTTGCTCTTCAGAAGAGAAAAATGCAAATCTAGACGCATTCTGCCTTGCTATGTCTCGAAATTGTTCCATTCTTGATTCGCTCACCCTCACACCTCTCTTTTGTTCCATACTTGATTCACTCACCCTCACACCACTCTTTCCAACTACATTCTCTCCCGAAATATCAGCTGAGCTCTTAACTTCATCTTCCAAATCCACTTCAACATCGTCACTTCCTTTCAATACAGAGTCCTCAACAACCAGTTTCGCCTTCCCTTTCTCTTCTCTACTAAACCTCCTCGTACAATTTGCACTACGGCTTTGGATCCTCTCAGTCTTGAAGTTCTCCATATCAACACCCTCTTCATTTTCTATTATCTTTCCCTTCTTTTCATGCTCAACTTCAAAATCTAATTTCCCCCTACTTTTCCCTTTCATTTCCCTTGCATTAACCCACTCACCACTCACATTTTCTTCCCCTATCCTCTTCAAAACTTTCTTCCCTGACCGTAAATTCAAACACCCGCCACTTTGCCCACTCTCCGAACTCAATAAACCCTCATTCACACCCAATTTTCTCTTCCTTTTCACCGAACATTGCTCCGAAATCTGATCAGCGCAACAAGAAACTGATGATTTTGAAGTGAGCCGAGCACTACGTCTGCAAATGGAACCAGAATCCGGCCCATGAGTAGCTGCCGCCTCGCGGGTCTGGGAGGGAGTAGCGGGCTCTATGTTGACTCCATTTTTTACCGGTTCGGTTTTGGGTTTAGTTGGAAGTATTTCGCGGGATCGAAGTACTGTCATATTGATTGGAGCTAAAGAAAGAAAGTTATGATTGAAGAAGAGAGACGGTGGTGTTGAGGTTGAGGTTGAACTCGGGAAAATGAACAGGCGTATTGGTTTGTGCAAGAGTGTTTCTTTTTTTCTTTTTTCTTTTTTCTTTTTTTTTTTTTTTGAAGGGATTTAGGGTTTAGGAGAAACTTCTCTTGTATGCCCATTGGGGTTCTTAATTTTCCCGCCAAATATGGCACCTGTATTGGGCTTGTGGGCTACACTTTTTTGGGAGGGAAAGAATAAAGGTTCTGATTGCGCTGCAAGTTTTGACTATTTTGTAGCTACGGATGAAATAATAGAAAATTCAAAGAAATAATCAATAAATAATTTCATAAAAGACTCATTATTTAGGCTCTGTTTGATACATTCTTCCAAATGTTATTCTTGGTTTTCTAATAAAGTTAAATATTAAAATTGGTTTATTCTCAAAATATTATTCTATATTATTTAACCTCTTTTAAACCCTCTTAAATTTGTTAATTTAACTAAAATCCCTAATTTGTTTTTTAGAAATTACAAAAACACCCCAACAATCCACATTTACTAGATTCCAACCAGCTTCCGACAATGACGACCGGAATCTAGTAAACGACGGCCAAGATATGGTCATCGTTAACCAGCAACAATGGTCGTATCTTTAGTCGTTGTTGACAACCAAATGCGACCAAATCTAGTCGTAGATCTGACCTTTTCGGCCATATCCACCATAGATCTGGCCAAAAAAGGCCATATCAGTGTACGACCGACAAGATTCAGCCAATCATGCATCAATACGGTGACTCCGGCCACCGTATAGCTACTGGTTGTCCGTATTTAATGGATGGGTTGGGGGTGTTTTTGTTAACCTTTAATATTTTATTATAAGAGTGTTTAGTAAATAAACAAACATAGGGGGTATTTTTGTTAATTTTTTAAATCTTACATCGTAATACCCATCCAATTTAACTTTTTTCAAAATATTATTCTAAAAAGTATCAGAATAATGAACCAAACGGACCCTTAATATTCATTACTGCGTTTGTTTCAAAATACTCTATTCTTATCTTGAAAAAAATGCATATTTGTTTCCCTATTCTCAAAATCATATCCTATAATATTCAACCATTAAACCCCCATAAGTTTGTTAATTTAATTAAACACACCCAACAAATTTTTTTTATAAATTAACAAAACACCCCCACCCACCCACACTTGTCAGATTTCAGCAACCACCGTCGGAAGGTGGCAGGAATCTAGCGTAATGGTGCACAATTGATGGATCTGACCGTTAGTGCGTCAATTTGACCTTTTCTAGCTAGATCCACAGTGGATCTGACCGGAAAATGCCAGATCCACAGCTACAGATTTGGCCATCATTGACGACTAATATATGGTCGTTGTTGACCGTCAACGATGACCATATCTTTGGCTGTCATTGACGGCCAGATGTGGCAATAGATCTGGCTTTTTTCGACCAAATCCGTGATGGATCTGGCCGGAAAAGGCTATAATGACGCACGATTGGCTAAATTTGGCCGGTCGTGCGCAATGAAACAAGATTCCAGTTAGATTCTAGCGACGATGGCCGAAATCTAACAACTGTGGGTGGGTGGGGATGTTTTTGTCAATTTATAAACTTTTCATTATTAGAAGTGTTTAGCTAAATTAATAAACTTAAGGTTTTTTTTTTTGTTAATTTTCAAATCTATCTCATGATAACAACCCAACTCAACTTAACAATAATATTTTAAAAATACTATTCAAAATAATAAAACAAACACACCCGAAATAATTTGATTATAACTACATCGAACTAGCATTTATACGAGTATTAAGAAACTAAGACTTTATTTTTTTACAGTAATGCTAAATTCACATTCCAATCTCACAAACTTCTCTCATAACCTTCAATATGACAGTTCACAATTGGTTAGCTCGCAATTAGATGTCGTCTGCTTGTTATGGGTCCCGTCTATTTAATTACAAACTGTCACATCGAAGGTTATGAGATTGGGTTTTGGACTTAATATTACTCTATTTTTTTATGAATTTATTTTGTGTTTTTGAAACTATTAATAGTATTTAAAAGTATTGATTTACATAAGATAAAAAGAATGTTTGTCTGAAAATGTGAATATGAAAGTGGCGTTTGACATGTTTTTTCTGAAAATTATATTTTATAAATGATATGGCAAAACATATATTAAGTTTATACATACATTGAGTTTTAAATTAAATTAAATTTAAACTTATTAAAAGCATAGGTTACAAGATCTAACTAAAAACCCTTCAAATCCTTGAAAGTTTGAAGGAGAAATTGAGAGGAAATGGAGAATGAATGAGGCGGTGGAAAAAGATGAATGAATGGGTTTCTAAAGTTAAACCCTTATTATCTTATATTTTCTCCATTCTTTCCCATTTTACCCTTACTTTTTCTTAAGAATTCCACTTTTGCCCTTTTAATTATTTACAAATGCACCCCCAATTAAACTATTCTCTATGCAATTTTCTTACATTTTACTCCCCACTTTTCCTGCTAATTAGGGGTAAAATGGTCATTGTGCCCCAAAGGAAGAATTCTCTAGAAACTTCATTAAACTTTTTGTTAGGCTCGTCGCCGCGGTGAAGACTATTTCTTCGCCCCAGCGAAACTTCACAGAACCTACACCGTGGGTTGCAGGGCCTCATTGCTGCGGCGACGATTCTTCTTCACCCCGGCGAAGATAGTAACCCCAAAATTCCACCAAGTCTCTACAATTTCAGGGCAACCAAACCATATTAACAATATTCCAAGTCAACAAGAGTAAAGTAAGAGACATTAGCTACATACCGCGAGTGGGGCATTACAGCATCTATGAATACTCTAGAAAATCTCCAACACAACTCAAAAGATCTATGACCGTGATGGAGGCGAACAAAGAGAGAAGAGAGCAAGTGCAGAAGCAGAAGGTTGACGAAGTTGAAAGAGTTGCATAGAAGAAGAACGATTTTGATACAAAAACAATAGGTGTTGGAGCAATGGTAAAGGAGCTGATTCGTGAATCCATAATTACTCAACATGATCATGACCGAGATGAGCAAGCTTAACATCCTGATGATGGACTGCATGTCTACTCTACTGTCTAAGAGCAAAACGAAGCTGACGTAGTACCGTAGTCACGATTTCGTTAACGAAATCCAGGTCTTTGATTTCAATGAAGAAGATTGGATTTCGATGGAGGAAGTAAGTTGAAGAAGATGAGGAAGTAAGCATAAACTTTACACTTTAGAGAGGATGAAAATGGAAGTTGCGGTTTGGAGATGAAAATGGAAGTTGCGACAACTGAAATGGTCTATGGCGAATGAAACCGATGCAAGGGAATTAAGATTAGGTTTTTTTTTTAGGGTTCAATTAATGGACTGGAATAAGTTTTGGGCCGATCGGATTGGACGGTTTGCACTATAACACCAGTCCAATATTGGTCCAAAGTGACTCTTTTAGTATTTACAGGTTTAATAACAATCCGGACCGAAGTGGAGCCCGGGTCCCAGTCAGACCGGCCGATCTGGTCTGGGTTTTAAAACAGTGCTATATAAAAGACAATTAGGAGTAGCATGATTAATTCCCATCAACTATAATGTTAAATTGATTAAGAGAAAACGTCCAATGTAAAATTCATATAAATTTTGAGCTTTCTCTAAAGATCAAGCAAGTTCATCATATAAAATCTAAATTTGCAACGTTAATAGAGATAGTACTATATTGAAATACGGTGTTTTCTGACACGAAAAATGCGTCAAACAACAGAACCATGCATCCCAGATTACATTTTCCAGCACAAAAGAGAGCTAATCATAAGTGAATAATCAGTCCTTTTTTTATTATTTGGTTATTACCAAAGTACAATCTAGCAATACAAGTGTAATAGATTCCTGAAAAGCAAAAACATAAGACAATAAAACCTAGGGTTTGAGGAATTCAATTTGAAGGAGGTTAAAGGGATATGGAGAAGAATACTTTATGATAAATAACAATTATAAATGGGTGTTAATGTCAACACACAAAACATACAGGAATTTGAAATTTTTCCTTGTCCAGTAGGGGCCCACTACAAGAAATTTAAAAAAAATGACAAGTTTTCATCACAGAAAGTGAAAAATTCATCTTAAAAAGTAACGTGGGACAACAGAATAAATCGTCTCCAAAGCCACGTCATTAGGGACCAAATACGGTTTCGTCATTAAAGATTATTTATTTTATGATGAAATTTTTTGTTCACAACAGAATAACTATTTGTCCCAGATAAGTACCCTTTTCCCGGTGGGCAGCATCAAAGACTAATTTGAAACATAGAGATAATAGCAAATCCAAAATACAGGCAGTTTAACCGATTAAGGACATCAAAAGTAGTAAAGAACTCCAATGAGAATGAATAACAAATAATTATGTCTACTGCAAACCAGTAAAGATAATGTATAGTTAGACCAATAATTTTGTTTACATAACCACTATACACATTCACAACGGCATAACATCATTTAATTATCCAGCAAAACCAAAAAAAAAAAAAAAAAAAAGAAAAAATTCCTTTTGTAGGAGTATGCATACATACCATTCAGGTATGGGCATGTAACAAAAGGAAATGGATGGGAGAATAAGCCTAAACAATCTCAAACAAGCAATAAGCTGAAATGTACTTTATAAGAAGGAACACTAACATACAGCATGTGCAAGGAAGAATTGGACATAGAACAACAACTCCACAACTTTATAGGTCAATTTAAATCACAACAATAAAACCAATTAAAACATTATTTCAGTAGAAAAACCTTAAGCCCTTCCTAGAGAGCTCGTGAACGGCATGACCATAAGCAAGCATGACCATATTCTTATCGAACAAATTCAAGTAATCATTGCAGTTCCATCCTCCTGTGCCATTGTTGCCAGGACCATGCAAGGGGATATGCAAGAATGCTGTAAATTGCACCCTCCCACCAATGATAAGCGGCAA